GATCTTGTCATTAGAACATGAGGAGAAGTGAGATTAAGTGACTTCCTTATATGGCAGGTAATCTTTAATTAATTAATTAATATATTTATTATTATTAATAGAGCTCTTATTCTTGTCTGTGTTTTCAAGATACGTTGTGGCCAAAGTTTTCGGTTTGGAATTTATTCTCTTCGATATTAACATACCAACAGAATTACAATAATATAAAGGTTTGTTAGTAATTAATTGAATCCTATAGCTGCATGTGTAGTGTACTGGTATGTCAAAACACTATATAGGGGGAAGGGCTTGAATGAGCTCTGCTTTGATATGTAATGTGGTATATGTATATGGCTTATAATGACCACAGTTGTGGAGCTGTGGTTGTGTGAACAAGCACAGCTCCAGCTCTGTAGTGTTGGATGAACTGTATAGCAGGCTTGATACTGATACTAATTAAGTATGGCTGTTTAAATAAAGGGAGGAATTATAAGCTTTGCTTTGATAGCCTGAATAGCCTGGGATAGCCTGGGGACTGACACTTCAGTCCCCAGTTAAAATATCATGCACCAGTAATTACATGGCATATAGTGTTGTGACTTTGACCGCTTCCTACTCACTTGGCAATAGGATAGACACTTTTATGGGAGTGCTTGCGTGTGCATCATCAAGCTTGTATATCTAAGAACATTATCATTGCATTACAAACCATATCAAATCTTGCTACAAAGCATACCAAGCTGTATAAGGCAATGCTTATGGTAGCTGAATGAACAAAGAGAGCAAACAATTAGCACTACCTGCACTTGAAGGTCATTCGTTTACAATGTGAAAGCCAGTATATACTTATGTGCTGCTATACATGATGTGCTTATATGTCAGTTATTATTATATATGATCAGCATCAGGCTATTTTGTAAAATTAGCCGAATTCCTTTAGAATAACTATTCATCAGACACCATCTGAAATAATAAAATTACAAATTATTATTAAAAAATCAACACAAACAAGAACATAAAAAATTTAAAAAAAACAAGATTAATTAAGAGCAAAGTTGTAAAAAGGTAACAGAAACAAGAACAAGTAGGATTTAATTTGAACGACCAATGGTAATACTCTCGTGACATAAATTCTACTCTACATTGCAAGGTGATCTGTAATTTTGTATACTCTTACTACATGTATATATGTACATGTACATGTACAGTATATATGAACATGTACATGTACAGTATATGTATAGCATGTGTGTGTGTACGTGTACTCAATCTACTCACTAAAATGTGTAATGTTCAATAGCATTTTTTGCACATTTGTTTGTACCTTTTATGTATGAATAGCATTGTGTGCTTAAATATGAGTATTTACATTATAGAGATATCAGTGAAGAGTTAATGGAGAGATGTCTTTATACTGGTACATGTACACCACCTGATCTTGTCATTAGAACATCAGGAGAAGTGAGATTAAGTGACTTCTTTATATGGCAGGTAAGTCTTTAATTAATTAATTAATTAATATATTTGTTATTATTAATAGAGCTCTTATTCTTGTCTCTGTTTTCAAGATGTGTTGTGGCCAGAGTTTTCCATTTTGAATTTATTCTCTTTGATATTAACATACCAGCAGAATTACAATCATGTATGTATTGAGGTGTGCTATATTAACCTGGTCAGTTTTAAAAAGGAATGGCCTTGAGCATTTCTTGTGGTTGTGCTGCATATCTCTATTATAGCACTCTTAAGGTTTTGCTTTGATAGCTTGTAGCTAAGTATAATAGCATACATTTATACTTGTATAAACATAATAGGTATGTAGATTATGTGCAATTCTGTCTTACTTCAAATGAGATTTGACCAAGAGGCTTGCCAGCATGACTGAATTCCATGAATACATAGCTATACTATAAAAGAGAGGCAGTGGCAAAGAATAATTAAGTTTGTCCTAATTGATTTGTCTATGATAGCTACGCATGAAGCATAATTAAGGAATGGAGCCAATTATTGATCTGCCTGCCATGTATGTATTTATGTGCATTATTAGAGTTACATACTTTATCT